GCGCACACATGGAGGCCGCTATAGCAAATGCCATGGCTCCTGTCAGGCAGCAAATTTCAGAGCTACAAGAGTTTGGTGTTCCCTACCAAAAGAAATTTGCTGAACTGCAAAGTGTAGTAGAGGGGCAACAGGAAGAGATCCATGCTCTGCAGACACGATTGCTGGACATGTGCTCCCGCGATGTTGCTAATACACGCATGCCTCTGCCACTCAAGTTCAATGGAGACCGCCGCCACTACAGGGGTTACCTTAACCAATGCCGCATTTATTTCCAGATGCAACCTGCTGCATTTAATACTGAGAGGCAGAAGGTATTGTTTGTTATAAACCTCTGACTGAGGAAGCCCTAGCTTGGGCCTCTCCCTATATAAGAGCAAAACAATGCAATGTTTTTAAACAGTTTTGCGACTTTTGTGACTGCAATGAACCAGGTCTTTGATGATCCCCAACCGCTGCGCTACCGCTGAAGCAAAGCTGCATAGTTTGAGGCAGGGTAGACGCCCTGTTGCGGAGTATACAACTGAATTTCAACGCTGGATCTCAGACACCACCTGGAACCCAGCAGCGCAAAAGAGTCAGTTCCGGCAGGGGCTCTCTGAACAGGTGAAGGATGAGCTCGCCAGAGTAGAGACTCCTAGATGATCTTGAGGAGTTCATCCAATTATTCATTCAGATTGACCAGAGACTGACAGAAACGAAGAAAGGAGAGATTGGGAAGTAATGGTGGCAATGCGTTTTTGCTAATCAGTTCAGTCAGAAGGATTTAAACATTTCTTCAGATTTGATAACACACTGAACCTATGCAAGTAGATACTGTTAAAAGAGCAATTTTCTACTCAAGAAGAAGGAGAGAATACGTTTGACGAGATTTATGTGTTTAAACTGTGGGGACTCTGGGCATTACGCAGTCAATTGTCCTAATAAAGTCAAAAGAACAATTGCTGCGACTGAATGTTATCCTGCCTGAACGCATACAATTCAATTCACCCAGTCTATCTCCCCATTGATCGATGAAGAAAATTGAAAGTTGGTCCTAAACAGTCTCATTTTGTTGTCCCCTATCAAACTTTTTTACTGAGGGCCATGAAATTCCTTGTTCTGCTATGCTGGACTCTGGGGGAAACTTTTGGACATAGAGTTTGCCCACAATAGATAATATTCTCAGGAGAAACAAATCTGCCCCTATTGATATGGAGACAGTTGATGGTTCACCTTTATCATCAGGACCAGTTACTCATGAAACAGTTCCTCTAGTACTCCAATTTCAGGCTGACCATTTTGAGACATCAGCTTTCAGCTGATTACATCACCTAAAATTTCCCTGTCATCCTGGGTGCATCCCTTGGTTTACTACCCATAATCCCTTCATCAACTGGGGAGCATGGACCATAAAATTTCTACATCCCCCCATTGTGAGAGGAACATTGTAGGAAACCATGTGCTACAAGTTGTCTACCAATCAGGGCAATCACAGGCTGATATGGTAACTACACAGTCATATGACAATCTGCTCCACAATACCATGAGTTTCGAGACGTCTGTGATAAGAAAAAAATTGTGGATCAAGCTACCTCCTCATCCGTCCATATGATTGTCCCATTGAACTGCTTCCAGGAGCAGAAATACCATTCAGTTCAGCCGCATTTTCAATTTATCAGAACCTGAGTTAAAGGTGCTAAGGGTAGATGGCTTGATGAGAATTTGGAGAAGGGCTTTATCAGACCCTCAACATCTCCTGCAGGGAGCAGCCCTGTTCTTTGTTGAGAAAAAGGACTCCACCTTAGCGTCCATGCATTGATTTTTAGGGGCTTTGAATAAAATCACTGTTAAAAACCCGTTACCCACTCCTTTAATCGCAGAGATGTTGGAAAGACTCCGCTCTGCCAAAGTCTTCACAAAACATTGACTTACGGGGGCATATAACCTGGTACTGCATGCGCCGTCAAGGCGACGAATGGAAGACTGCCTTTAGAACCAGATATGGACACTTTGAGTCCCTAGTTATGCCTTTTGCCTATGTAAGCTCCCGCGACTTTTCAGCACTTCATAAATTATGTGTTTCTGAGATTTGTTGGACCAGTTTGTTATTGCTTATCTGGACGATATCCTCATCTTTTTCGGAGACAACCTGGTGGAGCATCGCAAGCATGTCTGCACTGTATTCAAAAGTTTTAAGGATGAACCGACTTTACATCAAACTGGAGAAGTGTGAGTTTGAACACCCAGAATAGATTTAAATTTTTTTATTTAGAATTCCAATCCAGATTTTTTAAAAACTTGGGATATATCGTTTCTTCAGAAGAAGGAGTGAGCATGGATCCTGAAAAGATCAAGGCAGTGGTGGATTGGACTGCTCCTGGAAACTTAAGGAAATACAACCATTTATTAGATTTGCAAACTTTTATAGGAAATTCATAAGAAACTTCTCTAAGGTAATAGCACCAATTACACAGCTGACAAAGAAAGGAGTGCCCTTTGCATGGTCTAACCTGAGGCACAAACTGCTTTTAGTAAGCTAAAGACTCTCTTGCACATCTGCACCAATATTGGTACATCCTGAATCCTGGACTACCTTTTATTGTGGAAGTGTATGCCTCAGACTCCGCCGTGGGAGCTATCATTTCTCAGCGACGAGGAAAAAAAATGCAGCTTCATCCCTGTGCTTATTTTTCTCGTTTGATGTCATCTGCTGAAAGGAATTGATGACATTGGGCAATAAGGAGTTGCTGGCAATTAGGGAAGCCTTTCTGAATGGAGGCATCTGTTGGAAGGGCCTAAGCATCCTGTGACTGGACTTCACGGATCATAAAAATCTAGAATTCATCCGTTCTGACCAAGAGATTGTCTTCTAGACAAGCACGTTGGTCACTGTTCTTTTCCAGGTTCAATTTTAATTATCTCATATCGACCTGGTCAAGAAACGGAAAGGCTGATGCCTTACACGAATGTCGTCTGGGCCTCTCCAGGAGAACACTTCTGAATGCACAATCCTGCTTCAAAAGAACTTTCTAGGGCCACAAGTCCTAAGGCATTCTTGAATCTTCTTAAGAGGGGTATGAGAATGACCCACTTCTCAATCATCCACCTACGGACATTAACCTGACTTATAAGAATGGCTTTTGGATTCAAGGACATCATCTTTATGTACCTGAATCTGTTCGGGTGGAAGCTCTCAAGTTGGTTCATGATTCCAAACTTGCTGGGCATTTTGGAGTCGCTAAGACCGAAGAACTATTATCACGTTCCTTTTTGGTGCCGGCGGTACAAGAAAGATGTCAAACGCTATGTGACCTCATGCTTGACCTGTGCACGCAATAGATTCCCCGAGCATCCCCTTTGGGGTTGCTTCAGCCACTCCCTGTTCCATCAAGATCCATGGGGGTATTTCTATGGATTTTGTGTGGATTTACCTCCCTCAAAAGGAATGACCACCATTTTGGTAGTGGTTGACCGTCTCACTAAAATGGCCCATTTTGTTCCAGTTAAGGGGGTGCCCACTGCTGAACAGACTGCTGAACTGATGGTTCGAGAAATCTTTAAACTGCATGGAATCCCTGATGATGTGGTGTCTGACAGAGGTGTGCAGTTTACTTCGAAATTCTGGAGAAGTTTTTGCTCAGCCTTCGGTGTTACAATTAATCTGTCCTCTGCTTTTCATCCCCAGTCTAATGGGGGGGGGGCAGACTGAGAGAACTAATCAAACAATGGAACAGTATCTTCGATGCTTTGTCACTTATCTTCAGGATGACTGGGTTGGACTGTCTTCCCACTGCAGAGTTTGCATACAACAATTCTAAACATAGTTCCACCTCTCAAAGTCCTTTTTACTTAAACGCCGGGTTACCATCCAGTTTTTATTCCTGATCTCCCTATCACAACTCCAATCCCTGCTGTTAACCCAATAGACTAAGCTACATTGCAGGAGATTCAAGAGAAATTGATTGAGACTTTGAGGGAAGCTCAGGAGTATTACAAAAAGTCCTGCAGACAGACACCGGAGAAACTCTTCCTACTTTCATGTGGGTGAAAAAGTTTGGGTTTATCAACAAAGAATTTGAAGGTCCAGGTGCCATCTGCTAAGTTGGGTCAAAAGTTGTGGGTCCTTTTCCAGATTTCTGCCCAAATCAACCAGTCACCTTTCGCTTACAGCTTCCGGATAGTATGAGGAGTTCACCCTGTTTTTTTCATATATCACTACTCAAACCGTTTCAGGAAAATCCTTTCCCTGGAAGAATTTTTCCACCTCCTCCACCTGTTGAGGTACAGGGTTGAAGAAAGTAATGTGGTGATTTAGGAGAAAATCCTTGATTCCAGGATCTTTAGGAATAAGTTACAGTATCTGGTTCAATGGGAAGGATATGGACCAGAAGAAAATTCTTGGGAGCCTGAGGAGAATGTTCATGCTCCGAGACTAACAAGAGAATTCCACCAGAGGTTTCCACACAAGCCTAGTCCCTAAGACGTCCAGAGGATCGTCCTGGGAGGAGGGGAGTACTGTCAGGGCCTGGACTTGAACCTGGGACTTCTACTGTGTCAGGCAGTAACTCTACTCACTGAGCTACCTAGGATGCTGGACAACACTTTGCCTCATCTATTGGATAATCCTGCCTTGTGCCTTGTTTGCTCTTGAACCTTGAACTCCTTGCTCCTCCCATGAACTTCCTATATAAGCCATGTCCTTGGACTTCCCTCCTTGCCAATTATTGTGCCTTTCCAGCCAATATCCTGCTACTGTTCCTGCTGCTGTCTACACCTCCGCTACTGACCTTTGGCTTGTTTCCTGACCACGATTGATTCTGCTACCATTTGTGACCGACCCTTGGCTTGTGACCGACTCTGCTTTCGTCTGATCCCTAACCTGTTGATCCGCTATTGGTTCCCAGTCTGCTCATTCCCTGGTTGGGGTGATCCTGAGATCTGCGACCTGGTATTAACACGCAGCCCAATCCATCTCCACCATTAGGAGCTCTGGTGAATACCGGTTAATACTTAGACCCCGCACCTCAGGTGAGCCTGCGTCATTCCCAGGGGGATCCGCTGGTGTACCTATCCTGCTGGTTCCAGGTAAGCCTTTTTACTGCTATAGCAACTGGTCTCTGAACCTGACCCTAAACACCATGACAGTCAGGCTCGACAGCAGGCACCGGGTCATCTGGCGCTGGTGGATCGTATGGCTCGACAGGTGGGCATCGGGGTCACCAGGCATGACAGCAGGCACTGGGTCATCAGGTACCGAATCGTCTGGATTGACAGCGGGCACCGGGTCATCAGGCATTTGATCGTCTGCCCTCGACAGCGGGCATCGTAGTCACCAGGCATGACAGCGGGCACTGGGTCATCAGGCATTGGATCGTCATGGCTCGACAGCGGGCATCGGGTCACCAGGCATCAGGTCCCATTTGGCTCGACAGCGGGCACCGCGTCATCTGGCAAGGCAGTGGGCACCGATCACCAGGCCACGACAGTGGGCTCTGAGTCAATTGGCACGACAGCGGGCACCGGGTCATCAGGTACCAGATCGTCTGGCTTCGACAGCAGACACCGGGTCATCTGGCGCTGGATCGTCTGGCTCGACAGTGGGCATCGGGTCACCAGGCATGACAGCGGGCACTGGGTCATCAGGCATTGGATCGTCTGGCTCGACAGCAGGCATCGGGTCACCGAGGTATGACAGCCGGACACTAGGGTCATCAGGCGTGATAGGATCATCAGGCTGGATCATTTCATCAGGCTGGGTACAGACATCAGGCTGGGTAGAGACATCAGGCTGAAGTGCGGGGGGTGCAGAGGCACCAGGCTGAACCACGGAAGGCAGGTTTCTCAGACGGCAGGCTCACCGGTTTTGGATACTGGCAGGATGGTACTGGTTGGAAAGAATTTTCGCTTTTTTCTGGTTTTAACTACTGGAGCACTGCAAAGTAAACGCAGGTCTGCAAACGAATGGAGCAGCTGAGGACAGAGGAGAGCAGAGGAGGGAGCAGTTGCTACAGAGGACTTCTTTACAGGGTTAAAGAAAGGATAAGGTGCAGCGAGTGGAGCAGAGGACTGATATGTGGTAAGTTAGCGGAGTATACTGGGCAGTCCACTGGGGGTGCTGTTGGGGATGCAGAAAGAGTGCCTTGAGCGGCTAGGAATGACGTTTTGTAAGCTGAGTAGGCTGGGTGCAACAAGTCTGACCATGTCTGCAGTATGGGTTGAACAAAGCTCAGCTTACACAAAGCCTGTCTGGTCAAAGACTACACTGCGTTTTATTACAATCCCTTAATACCTGTGGTGAACATGCAGCATAATGCTCCAAGAACAATCCACATCATCCTCTAATAACCATACCAGGGACTCTACCTGGTCTGCACTAAATGGTGGCAAAAAGTCATTCCTGCTTTCAGGGGTACCAGATGAAGCCAACTCTACACACAACCTGAATCAAAGGTTGCCCACATGAGAACTGTGCCCTGATCTACTAGAACATGGAGCGATTCCGTATACATTCTAGCAGTTGATCCCGGGTATACTCCCTCAGTAGTCTGATAAGCATATTCTCTGTCATCAAAAACCAGCAGCGACAAATACACAACCTGATCAAGATCCATCCTTCCCAGCAACAAGCCAAGATGGCTTCCCTGTGCAGCCACTTCTGGTCAGGATTGGCCTTGGTGTAATGTCAGGGCTCCAGGGGTATGACCAGAGGTATGTGTGAACTGACGCAGGGAAACGCAGGCTTCAGATATGTTATAAACAATATAATTTATTAACACTAACAATAACAAAACGCAGTGCAATACTAAAGCATAACACAGTGCAAACGAACCAAACCACCCACAGATAACAATACATACAATGCAAGCGTCGTCAGGCAGGCCGGGTCAATAACAATCGGGCAGGTAGGAACAGGAGGAGCAGGCAGAGAGTAGTCAGGTCACGAGCCGGTACAGCAACTAACGGGCAGGTAGGTACAGGGGGTCAGGCAGAGAATGGTCGGGGTCACAAGCCAGGGATCAAACAGGAGAAGTCAGCCAGAGGTCCGGATCAGGCAGGGTCGGCAACAAATCAGTCAGACAGGAACCGGAACAGGAACAGGGATGCAGGTAACAAGATACAGGGGCCCATAGAAAAACACACACACCAAGGCACAGACTGCAGGTCTGGCCATCCCTTAAATACACCTGTAATCAGCTTCAGGTATCTTGGCTGACATGCAGGGTTGAGTCTCTGATTGCTGAGAGCACCCGCTGGCCAGCCCTGGTACTGCAGTCCACAAGGCAGTGACTCCCACCATTATTGGCAAGTCCATTCCTGACACCTGGTGACCAGCTTCCCCGCAGTACAGACATAGGTTCTGCGATCGTCTCCTGACGTTCCTCGACCGATAAAGTGGAACGGGCCAGTCCCAGTTTGCATGGGTTCCGAAGTGTCCCCTGGTTCCGTGCTTCGGGTATGGTTCCCTGGGGCTGGAGCTGTTTCTCTCGGTGGAATCCATGCCACCCTTTGACCCTGGCTGCTCCTTTCCAGCCGACGTCCCTCAGTCTATTTTGAATGGCCAACTCTATCAGTTTCTCAGGGAGTCAGGTAGGCCTACTCGTGCCAACTCATCTTTGAGTGACTCAGACAGCCCGATGCGGAACTGGTGACATAATGCCGCATCGTTCCATCTGGTATCTCCCATCCAACGCCTAAAATCGGAAGCGTATTCTTCGGCTGCCCGGGCGGCCTTGCCGTAAGAGAGTATAGGGTAGCCTCTGCGGAAGCAGCCCGCTGAGGGTTGTCATAAAACACAGCCATGGCCTAAAAAAATCGGTCACGGAATCAAGATGGGGGTCATGCTTCTCCATCAGACGGTGAGCCCAATCCTGGGGCTCATCCTGAAAGAGAGAGACTATAAACCCCACCTTGACGGTCTCGGTGGTGAACGTGCAGGGCTGCAAATCAAAAAAACAGGGTGCAGGCATTCCGGAAGGCTCGGAAGCGGCTTCGGTCTCCACGGAATTGTTCCGGCAGGGGGAACGCGGGGTTCGGGAGCTAGGGGCGCGCGCAACTGCACCGGATGCCGGGGTAGCGGGTGATTCCGCAGTTGGAGGACTCTGACCAGGGGGAGTCAGGGTGGCTAACGACTCCATGCGGTCCTCAAGTCGGGTGCAGCGGCTGTGGAAATTCTGGACAGCCTGGGTCAGAGTTGCCAGGTGCTGGCATATATCCTCTAGGGACACCGGTCCTCTTCCTGGCTCTGTCATGGCCGCAAGGTACTGTTATGAATCCGCCAGGTGGTGCCTCAGGCTGCCCAATTGACAGACCTACCCAGAGCGTGGAGTCTAAGCCCTGGTCTGTGCTTTCACCAGGCCCCCTGATGGTGGGGATGGATTTGTAACAGACCAGGGCCAGGTCACGACCTCCGAGCAGGCCCACCAGTGGGCAGAGGAGCCTCCGGGGATGTATGCAGGTTCCCGGAGAGCCAGATGTGAGAAGGACGGCGGGACCTAGCAGGATGGTCACGAGCCGTGGTCCCGTGGGGTAGCGAGGTACTGAATCGGCAGGCGAAAGAGTAGTCATCAGGTCACACGCAGGTGTCAGCAGGATAAGTCAGTCCGCAGAATGGTCAAACAAGCCAGGGGTCAGGAAAGGAGAAGGCAGAGTAGTCAGGGCAATCCGGGTCAAAGCACAGGAGAAGGCAGCGTAGTCAGGGCAATCCAGGTCAAATCACAGGAGAAGGGAGCGTAGTCAGGGCAATCAGGGGTCAAATCACAGGAGGAAGGCAGCGTAGTCAGGGCAATCAGGGTCAAATCACAGGAGAAGGCAGCGTAGTCAGGGCAATCAGGGTCACTAATCAAGTACAGGAACTTCAGATCACAGATAGACCTTGCGGCAATCTGTGACAGTGCAGGGCATCTTTAAATAGTGCGCCCTGCACTGTCATTGGCCGGCCAGGACGCGCCCCCGGGCTGTCATTGACCGCCCGAGGCGCACCCGCGGCTCCTACTGCGCATGCACGGCGTCCTGTCAGCCGCGGCCCGCGCCGACCTAGTGCCTGTGTCCCGGCGTGAGCTGTTGCAAGTGCGCGTGCGCCAGGAGAGGCGCCGTGATCCCTGACAGTCAGTGTCTCAGCTGAACTCCCTAGTGGAGCAGAGCGAAGGTCCTATGGAGCTCAGAGGGGAGGTGGATCCCTGGAGCTCCTGAAGGGATTGGAGCAGACCCTCTGGGGGATCAAAATCAGGGAAGAGCCCCCCAGAAAATACATAAAAAGAACTTGTCACCTAGAAGAAAAGAAGAGGAAAGAAAAGAAGGGAAAAAAGAGAGAGGGAAAAAAAGGGAAAAGAAAGAAAACCCTGAGACATCCAACAGCATGAAAGGTTTTGGGAAAATGTGGAACAGAAAGATTACCCACCCAGAAAACCCATAAGAAGCCAGAGAGACAAAACTGAACGGATATGGTGAGTTGCTGTGGACAACGGCCAATATTTATATCAATATCAATATTGTTGTATTAATATTACAGAAGTTTGAATATCTGTGAAGAGGGACTGGCTGGGTAGAAGGTGAGAATGTTCTCAATAGGTTAAGGAAAATGAACTTAAGAGAAGGTGGCCATATCTCATATCTGCATGATCAAAATTAGATCTGAATTTATTTTGACTAATATTCTTTATCGTGCCCGAAGACAAGCCTAATAGAAATGAAGGGCAGATCTACTAAAGGCGGAGCGGCAAAGACCTCCCAAACAAACGCTAACATGAGTACTATCAAAAAATATATGCCGATACAAGAAAAAAGTCCTGAGACTCATGACCCGGAGAATCAAAAAGAGAAAAAAAGAGGAAGTCTGATGGGGAACAATCCATAACGTCATTTGGAATACGGGAGGGAAATCAGTCGAATGAATCCATAAGTAATGAAAGTATAATAGAACAAAATGAGACGGACCAACTGGGAGCGTTAGTGCAAATTCCTACTAAAAATTAGATTGTAGAAATGTTCCCAAAACTGGAAAGCTCAATAAAAAATTAAATGGCAGTGATCCATAAGGACTTGGGATGAATGTTATCAAGAGTTGAAGAAATAGAAGGGAAAATGGAGGCCCAAGACCAGGAAAAATATAACGTTGAGAATGCAATTTAGAAGAGATGGAAATAGGAACAGAGAAAAATGTCATGTAAAAACTGAAAGATCAAGAGAAATAGAGCAAGCGAGAAAAAACTTGAGCGATCCGGGGCCTACCCAGAGCGACACAAGAGAAGAAGATTCTATTGGTAAAAAATAAAAAGTGTACTTTAACCCTTTATTGGTAAGACTAACGCAACGGATCCTCTAAAATTGGAAAGCGGTGTATAGAACTAGACGCGCTTCCAGGAATCGTGTAAGAACGTCAAAGAGATGTGATTTGTCTGTTTACATAACTTTGAAGAAAGGAGAAAGAATATGGAAAAAACTTTGTGAGACTCCCCGAAATAAAATATGAAGAAACGAAAATGCAGATCTTTGCGGACGTTGCTCCGAGACTTTAATGAGAAGAAGGATTTTAAAACTACTATTAGAACAGAAGAAAGAGAAAGAAAGGTGTTCGGTACAATTGTGGGTTCCCGGCTTTGCTTGATCTGATGGAAGAATCGAAAAGATGGCCAATGTCAGGGATCCCCTCGATCCCTTGCCACGATGGGTCCCGGCGCAGGCGCAACTGCACCCGCCTGTACACGGGCCGCTAGATCCGGGCTCCGACTGCGGCGTTGAGTTTCGCGCAAGCGCAGTAGAAGCCGCGGCCAGCTACTGTTCGGCACCAATGGCA